CCTGCTCATGGCCCACTGAAGCCAGAGGCTTTTCTTCACTCAGGCAGCTACTGGCTGCTGAGGCTGACAAGCCCAAGGTTGACATGTAACAAGGCACAGTCCCAATGTTACCAAACCACATGGCAGGCCATTCATTCAAGTCCATTGTAAATTCCAAGGTCAGCAGAGCATGGCAGGCTGCTGAACAATGACACGGCTGCATGCAGGGTCCAAGTGTGCCACTAGAGAAGCCCCAAGGCTTCTGCTTATATACAGGAAGCAGACCACAGCCCTGAGGCAGCTACTCAGCTGCTCGCAGTAGATTCCACCATGGAGTCGACGACCAGTCTCATCATGGGGAATAACTACATCCAGCTGCCCAGCCACTCAACCAGGCCCAGCCAAGTTGACACACAAACTGAACTCCCACAGGGGTCAGGGCCAAAGGAGGCCCTTTGTGGGGAGATAGATACCAAAGGACAGCCATCTGTAACCTCTGGTCTCTGAGGGATGTGCTGGCTGGAGGGGACCGGCACCTGGGCACCTGGGGAAGAGCTGCTTTACCTCACCTGCCGTGCCTCAGTTTCCCCAGCCTGGTGCTCCCCCACCCCAGGGCCCACCTTCCTGTGAAATTTCAAGCTGTACTCTGCCCTCAGGCAGCCCCTCCCTGGACGATGGCTTCCCCTTTGGCCTCAAGAGGTGGGCACTCCCTCCTGTGAAGCAGCTCTTTCCCATGGATGGAAGTGGTGAAGCATCCCTAGAGAGGTCTGGAGGCTGACCCTCTGACCACACCCACCTCCAGCGCTGACTGCCTCCTCCTCCTGGAAGCCCTCCTGGGCTCAAACTAACCTCAGATTCCGGCAGATTGCTCAGCATTCACGTGGAGCTCGCAGAGGGCCGGCCCAGCAGCAAAACCAAGCCTCCCGGGCTGCCTGCCTGGCCCACCGATCCTGTTTGAACCCACCCTTCCAGACTCAGCCTGGCCAGGGAGCTGACCATAGCATTGCCAGGCTCCCGTCCTATGCCAGGCTGGAATCTTCTGCAGCCTGTGGCTCCCAGGACAGCCCTGCCAGGTGGGCCCGTCCCTGGCCTGGGGGTGCAAGGGCCCGGGGCTGCTGTGGTCTCACCCACTGCCGGCTGAGTTCTGAACTTGCACCTTGCAAGGGCCTGAGCCGGGGTCTCCAGGGAAAATGAGCTGGGAGAGTAACTGATCTTAAGGAAATGGCTCACGTGGCTCTGGGGGCTGGCAAAGCCCCAAACCCGGAGGTCAGGCGGCGGGCTGGAGATCTTCGCACACTTGCTCCCCAAAATCTGTAGGCCAGGTGAGGGGGAGAGTGTGAGCTGGCCCATGAAGTGGGCCCTGGAGGAGCACACTGCTCCAAGCCCTTTCCTGCCATCACTCAGGTGACCTGTGGCCCACCAAGAAGGGGCTGGGCCCTCCCTCCCCACACCCGCATCAGGAACGCGGCCACCCTGAACACCCCACCACCATGGAGATCTGAGCCATGGCCCCTGCCGTCTGGCCTCCAGCAGAAGCCCCTGGGCTGACCCCAGCCTCCACTCCAGTGCATTCAGTAGATTCTTCTGGAACCAGAGGCAGGTGTAGCCCCTGCTCTGGGTCCCGTCTCATGGTTAACCAAAGCTGCAGTGCTCATAGTACGTGTCCAGTTCACGTATGCATATTTACTGTCTACACACACGCATGTACACGCACACATGCACTGTGATGCAGGGGGCTCGTGGCAGTTCTGTGCCGAGGACCCCAGGCACATTGCACAGAGCTTGCGTGCAGTAGGTGCTCAATAAATGCTGTTGGGTTAAGTGAGGCTGCCTGCTTCGAGGTACATTCCCGTTTCAGCTCAGGGCAGGTGCGCGGGCACCCAGCTCCAGTCCCAGGCCAGCTTCCCATGGGCCTAACCTCCAGCTCACAGAGGCCAGGGCCCCTCTGCCGGGCTCCTCCACTCACTACATGCCCCCACTTCAGCTCCCAGGGCCCACCAGCCCCTCCGTGCTCTGGCCTCAAGCCCCCTCTCTCCAGACTCAGCGTCGTCCCCTAGTGCCCTGCACATACTCTACCAAGCCCCTTCACACACTCTGTCGGGTTCGAATCCACCAAGCTGGGGCTGGCAGATACTGTGCTCCTAGCCTGGATGCTCTTTCCACAACTGGCCATCCATGCTCATCCTTCAGACACCTTCTCCGAGAAGCCCTCTAGGGTGCCTGGGTCTGGGTGTGGCCTTTGTTGACTGGCTAGGGGAGCTACTTAGCAGCAGGTCTAGGGGAGAAAGGCAGGGCCCAGAGATTCAGGCTTCCTGCACCTGCGCCCCACTCCTCTTCCAGCCCAAAGGGCAGTTTTCCCACGCTTCCTCCAGACCAGGAAGCCACCACACCCCCATCTGTAGCCAAGACTCCGGCCAGATTGGATTGTTCCTGTCCCAACCAGTTTCAGACTCCACCGGCTTTGCTCAAGGAAGGAGAAAGGGAGCCGTGAGTAGCCCGCCCCTTCATGCCTGCCCCACACGCCCCTGGGACGTTCAGGCCCCCCACCCACAACCTCTGATCCTCATTCTCCAACCCTGACCCTGACAGCCCAGAAAGAGCCAGGTCTGTAGGAAGCAGCCAGGCCAGGAGCCTGCCAGGTCTTGAGGGTGTTGGGGGGGAACTCTGGAAGCTCCTGGGGACAGACTCTGCCTCCCATGAGCCACCTGGCTCTGCTCCCCCACCCAGGAGCCCTGAATGCTGTCACGTGCCCCCACGCGCCCCGAGCAGTCACTGGAAACCCTGCTACCCACAGGGATGCCCTAGCCTCTGGACCCTCAGTGGGACCAGCCCCCTCCCCTCCTCACAGGGAGGCCGAGGTGAACAACCCGAAGCCGGGGTTGTGGTGAGCCTGGGGGCACCCCCACGTGTTCCTTCTCCCCATTTGCTGTCTGCACACTCTCAAACACCTCCCCACGTGCACTTAGGTGACACCAATGTGTGCCCCCTCCCTGCCCAGAGTTTGGGCTGTTCCCCGCCCCCGGATGTCTGCTGCACACCCATCCCCATTGGGAGCTCTCTTTCCGAAGGCAGGAATGTGTCTTCGGACGTTTGGGCCTCAGACCCCGCTTGTGGCTATAGTTGCATCAGGGCAAGTGGACGGGTGACCCGACACCACCTTAGCAATGGCCGGTAGAACAGCGGTGGGGACGGGGCAGGACCTGGCCAGGTGTGCTCCTGGGGCTCCATGGGGCTCCAGCCAAGCTGCAGGAAGCCAGGTGGCCCAGGCAGGGGTCACTCACACCCCTTCACTCTTCTCAACTTGGATCCAACTCCTAGCAACCCCCCCCCCCCGGGGAGTTCCGAGGCCACGGTGGCATAGTGCCTAAGGCATTTGCCTACTAGCCAGAAGGCTGGGGTTCAAACTCACCGGCCACTCCTCAGAGGGAAGACTGGTCAGTCCCTTTCCACAGTGATACCACCTCGGAAACCCAAGGAGGGGTGGCTAGGAGTGGGATGCTACTCCAGGGCAGTGAATTTGGTGGGGTTTTTTTTGTTTTGTTTTGTTTTTTGGTTTATCACTACAGAAGTCGACCACCCAATCTTCCTTCTGAGGAGTGGCGGGTCGGTTTGAACCGCCAG